AGTCTAAAAAAAAACAGGTAAATATAGAAACAATCAAAATTTAATAAAATCTTTGCAAATGACTTAACAAGTGAGAACTGAAAAAGAATTGTGGTCTCCTTCACTTGTGCTTATTACCTGCTGGGTCTTCTTTCCACTTGAAGCTTTCTCCCTCCAAAATCCTTCCCATTCTTTGCTCAGGCTTCTTTCATTTCTCTGTCACTCAGCTCAACCAACTCTCCTTTCCTTTTATAGGTCACCTCCTCTAGGATGCCTTTCTGAAATCATTCCCACTCATCCTCCATCCTGTCAACAGAATTCTCCATCTTCGCCTCTCAGTGCACTCAATGATGAATGCACCTTATCTGCTCTATTCCACTCCCTAATTTAGTAATGACAGATTTTAGTTGATGATGGATACACTTTACCTGTCTTATCACACTTTCTTAAGGACAGGGACCATGAATGTTCTGACATCTGTCTCCCAAAACCTTCCTCATACCCCTCTCCACTTTTTTCTACCTCTCCCACTTGAAGGCTTAAAGACTTGTGGACTACTTAAAAGGACAGCATGTTACTGATGGTGGAGCAGAGATAGACAGGAGAGAAGGAAATGAAAGGAGAGAAGAAGGAAATGAAAGGAGAGAAGAGAACAAAAAAAGAGAATGGGGGAAAAAAAAAAGAGAGGGGCTAAGGCCTGTCCCACCTCTGATGTTCCCTGGTGTCAACTGTGGGTATGAAGAAGGTGGAAAGGGGTGAGAATGGTTATGTGGGAGGAACCTACATTAAGGAAGGAGATGTGTATGTTAACAGAGAGGCAGGATCCATTCTCAATCAGCCAGAGCAAGCAAAGCCAAGCCAGCATACATGAAATCACCACCACCCTTCCTGCTCTCTGCAGAAAGAATGAACTCAAATGGGTATTGGAGGATCAAGTGTAGAGTTATTAGGAGTCTGGAGAGGGAGGGAGAAGGTTTTGAGAAGTGAGATATTTCCTGGCAGAGTCTGTCTCCAAATGCCTTTTCCCTTACCAGTGTCCTAGAACCATTAGGTATGAACTCATGATAACCAGGGTGTAGAATCTTCATCATCTAGTTATAGAAGGGAAATGACAACTAGTCATGAGCTTCTTCAGTCAGACTGAGCACCATGTCTCATATCACATGAGCATTCTATAAGCACCATGCCTGGCGCTGGCCAGTAAGAAAAGATTATTATTATTATTATTATTATTATTTTGGTACTGGGGATTGAATCCAGGGGTACTTCACTGCTGAGCCACATCCCCAGCCCTTTTTATTTTGAGACAGGTTCTTGCTAAGTTTCTTCGAGACTTGCTAAGTTGCTGAATCTGGCCTCCAATTTGCGATCCTTCTGTCTCAGCCTCCAGAGTCACTGGTATTACAGGCTTGTGCAACCATGCTCAACGAGGAAAGACTATTGATTGAAAAGGATAAGAATGTCCTTGTCTGGAATTTAGAGGGTGTCAGCAGAGTCAAAGGATCCTCTCACTTTGCTCAATCAGTGATGAGTAATTAAAAAACTGAGACTAGGTTTACCAGGACACCATGCTAGGCACTGTTCCCTGTGCATGTCAAGCAGCAGTGAAGGTGAATGTTAGGTTCCTATTCCTATACTCCTTACCGTCTGTTGGACGGAAATAATAAATAGACCATTGTAGGCACTCAGAAATGTTGTGAAGACATTAAGTCTGAGTAAAGAGATAGTGAATGCCTTTGAGCAAAACTACTTGAGATGTAAGTAGTAAAGAAGACCTCTTGGGGGACTGAGGGTAAGGGTTAATGGTAGAGGGCTCACTTAGCATGCACAAGGCCCTGGTTCAATACTCTAGTACTGAAAGAAAAGAAAAAAATTCTCTCATGAATATGTTACCTTTGGATTGAGACTACAATGAGAAGATAAAGAGCCATGTGAAGCTCTGGAGGAGGAGGGCCCAGGCAGAAAGAAAGCAAAGGCTGTGCTATGAGATCAGCCTTGGCATGCTCAAGGAACAGAAAATACAAGGCACTGCAGCTAGAGCACAAAGAATGAAATGGGAGGAGCAGGTCCACCTACACATCCCATCGTGCAATACAATGGTTTCCCCTTGGCTAAACACTGGAACCACCTGGAGAGCTTTTAAACTATGGATACTTGGGGCCCATCGCAGGAGGTTCTGTTTAATTGGTTTGGGTTATCTCCTGGACATTAGAAGTTTAAAAATTTCTCAGATGATTCTAAGGTGCCACCAAGGTGTTGAACCATTGGCAAGACTTTGAGGGCCATGGCAAGTCACTTGGATTGGTGATAGTAGATACAAGTTTCCCAAAGAGGCATTTACCCAGTGTCTTGGCCCAGATCCAGAAAGAACTCATTGTCTAAGAGGCTTTGAAGGTGGGGATGGAGCCAGGAAAATGAAGTAATCTAAAGGAAAAGAGACTAAAGGGGATTGACAAAAAGGCCAAGAGAGACAGCAAAATCAAGAAATGGGACATATTTGGAGGCATAAAAGCAGACAAGTACAGACAGACCCAGAAAGGTCAGAGGCTGAGGGAGAAATGTCAAACATAAATTAGTTTCCTAATTCTGCTGTAACAAATTACCACAAACACTGTCTTGACACAACATACATTAATTATCTCATAATTCTATAATTCACAAGTCTGGAAAGGGTCTTACTGGGGTAAAATCAAGGTGTCAGCAGGACTCCATTCCTTTGGGATGCTCTAGTGGAGAAGCCATTCCCTTGGCTTTTGCAAATTCTAAAGGCCACCCACTTCCTTAGCTCCTGGATCCCTTCCTCAATCTTAAAAGCTAGCAACATCAGGCCAGGGACTTTTTTATTATTTTATTTGTAGTTGTCGATGGGCAGCATGACTTTATTTTATTTATTTATTTTCATGTGGTGCTGAGGATAAAACCCAGTGCCTCACATGTGCTAGGCAAGCACTCTACCACTGAGCTACAGCCCCAGCCCTGGCCAAGTATTTCTCATGCTGCTATCTTCCTGGTCCTTCTTTCTGATTCCACCTTCTACTTTTAAGGACCTTTATGATTGCCGTAGACCCACCTGGATATTCTCGAATAGCCTCCCTACTTTAACTTCAACTGTTTATCAAACACAGTCCCATCTGAAAATTAATTCTCCTTTGCCATATAAGGTAGCATTCACAGTTTCCAGGAATTAGGACATGGCATCTTTGGAGGGCCATTATTCTACCTATTGTAGCATAGCAGTATATCTTTCACAAATGGATTTCAATCATATCTATAGTCTTTTGGTCAAGTTTTATCTGTGTCTTATATGAGCATTGAGCTAGGAGAATTATTCCAAAATGAATGTGCATGTGTTTGTTTGTGTAGGTTTGTTTATCATGGTGTCATATTTGAGTATCTCCCTAATAGGTATGGGGGAGGAGGAAGAAGGGTGCCTGGAGGGGGTGCCTAATAAAGCACTGCTGCTCCACAAAGACTTGCTGCTGTTGTATTGTTGCTATTATTGACAATAAAACTAATAACAGAGTGTCTCTTTGCATGTTTTGTTTGAGTATGCCCCTCTGTCTCTAAATAATCCTGGGTGTTCACCCTGGTGCTATTTAATGTATATCTGTGATGTTTGGACTATACATATATCTATGTCAATAAGTTTGTGCACATTTGGGCATTTGAACATCAGTGAATGCACACACATGTTGTATAACAGTGCATGATCACAGATGTATATATCACAGATATTTACTCATTCACAAATCTCCAAGGGTATCCAGGAAGGGTATCCAGGAAGAAAGGTCTTGCATGAGAGAGCCATAGAAGCTAGGAAGAGGAGAGAGCAGGAAGAAAAAGAGAAGAGGGAGGAAGAAAAGGAAGGAAGAAGAGAGAGAGCACTAAAGGTGAGGGAAGAAGACACAAGAAAAGATCAAGGGGGAAAAAATCAGAAATCAAGAGGGAGTTCCAGGGATCTGCAGTTGAAGAAGAAGAAAGGTAAAATAAGAAGGAAGAAGAAGAAAAAGAAAAAAGGAGGAAGAGGAGGAGGAAGAGGAGGAAGAGAAGGAGGGGGAGGAGGAGGAGGAGGGGGAGGAGGGGGAGGAGGGGGAGGAGGAGGAGGAGCCCCTGCCTCAGCCTGGGTGGCTCCACTTCTGATCTTCCTGCTGTGTAAATTTGGCTATCCCAACTCTCTGGGCCTCAGTAAAATAGATAATCCTTGGGTCAGTTCCAAAGGAGGGAAAGAGATAAATGGAAATAAAAACTCACACAGGGAAAAGTAGAGAAAGAACCAGGAGATAGAAGGAGAGAACTGAGAGTAGAACTGAGAGAGCATTATACAGACTCCTAGAGGCGGGAGTGTGGGCTTCAGAGTGTTCTTAAGTCCTTAATAGGCAAGGCAGGAAGATAAGGGAATGACTGTCATACATCAATACTCAGAGGCTTCCAAAAGCCACACAAACCAGGATCCCAGCTTCCGGCCCCCAACCCCCAGATGTAGGTGTGCCAGCCACCTGCAATGACTCACACCCTGGCGATGTGGGCACACATACCAAGAGCGAGCCTGGGCACCCTGCCCACCCTCACACCATAGGCCTGGGAAGGGAGAGGGAATATTCGGGCTCTTCAGTGGGGGACAGGGGGTTACTCTCCCCACACAAGGCTACCTTGCCCCCAGAGCGCCCCCTAGTGACTACCTCGTAGGCTCTAGGAGCCAGGTGACCTATCCTCCCTAACCTCCTCCCCCAAAACCTTCCAGGGGAAGCGGGAGAACCTGATGAGGTGTTACGCAAGGCCTGCTGTTTACCTCCCGCAGGAGCCTCCTCCCTCCCTATAAAACCTGACGTGGTGTGGTGGGGAGACTCGCCAAGACTGAGACTCTGGTTGAAGTGAGAGGCAATCCCAGGAGACAGGCAGAAAAGCGGCATAAAGTTAATGCGGGAGACAGAGAGAAGGACATCGAGTCAGCAAGCAGCAGGGGTGGTCCACCATCTGCGCGCTCGTAGGCGGTCGCGGTGGTCGCGCAGGGGGTGGCTCCCAGACCCCAGCTTCCCATGGAGGCGCCTGAGCTGGGCCCGGGGCTGGTGGAGCGTCTGGAGCAGCTGGCGACGTGTCCGCTGTGTGGGGGCCCCTTCGAGGACCCAGTGCTTCTGGCGTGTGAGCACAGCTTCTGTCGCGCGTGCCTGGCCCGCTGCTGGGGGAACCCGCCGCCCACCGGCACTGAGGGGTCCCCCACCGCCTGCCCCTGCTGCGGCCTGCCGTGTCCCCGCCGCAGCCTGAGGTCTAATGTGCGGCTGGCGGTGGAGGTACGGATCAGCCGCGGGCTGCGGGAGAAGCTGGCCGAGCCCGGCGCCCGCTTGGGAAGGCGCCGAGGAGGCCGTATCCCAACCATGGGCTGCCTGGACCCGCACGGAGAGGTAGGTGCCTTCGAGGGTCACCAGCTATTAATGGGGTGGGAGAGGGCTCATAAGTTCCCTGGGAAAGGCGGGAACGGCACTTGGCACCCCAAAGTCCTTGAGGAAGTTTAGGTAAGGGTGAAGTTGGAGAGAGAATTGCAAAGAATAAGGAGGTGGGGTCTGACCCGGTCCTCAAGGTGAGAGGTGCCGGGAAGGACGATGGTAAGGGATTGACACTGTTCGGAGGAGGAGGATGGACAGATGCTGTGAAAGGAGCAGGAGAGAAGAGGTTGGACAGGAAGAGACAGGCGGGTAGTATACAGAGCGCGGGACCCCTCGAGATCATGCAAAGAGTACGGGAATTACGGGGACTCCAAAGCGTCCAGGAGGAGCAGAGCTGGCCGAGGGGAGAGATCCTGTTTGCAGAAGGGCAAGTGACCCGGGCTAGCGCGAATAGGAGGCCCGGGAGGATGGTAAAAGATATCAGAACGAGCGTCGAGAGTGGAAGAAGGCGAGAGTGGAAGAAGGCGGAGAAAACGCGGAGTGGATGGGAGGGAAAGGGGGAGACTGATAAAAAGGACGGAGAAAGGAGGGGGAGCAGATCAACAGTCCCTTTAGTGTTGGGCCCCTTCCTCAGACCTTAGATGTGTGTTGTTGTTATTGTTGTTTTCAGCTCCTCCCAGATCCCCAGGCAGGGGTGACGACAGGTGGAGGCAAGGTCCGGGAGAACAGCCGTTGGGGCCTCTGGCTTCCCTCCACGCACCAGCTTTATTTATCGCCTCCGCACCCCCTCCTAGCCCCGTACTCCTTGGCCACCAACCAACCCCATTCCCTTGCTCGACCCCCAGGCGTCTGAGGCTGGCTTCTCCCCAGCAGCCCAGCCGGTCTTGGGTCTCGCTTCCGCCCTTTGAAGTCTTCCTAGACCTAATTAGTCTTGGTGTAATTGGCATAATTAGGCAAATTGCCTTTCCTCTTCTCTTTCCCCCTTGCCACCACACCAGCCTGCTCCAGCCATCCTCACTGGGCAGTGAAGAGGGGGAGGGGAATGTCCCACTATTTGGAGGGGATCCAGCGCCCTCTTCTGGCTCCCATGATTCTCTGCAAGATCTATTGGGCCTCTTGGGACAGGTCCTCCAAGTCCGGTTGCCTCCCTGGCACAGTGGAGACACAAAGCGAAGGACCCAATAAACGCCACTGGGCTTTTATAGCAAGATGGGAAGCAGCGTTATTGTAAGGCTTTTATATACCAACTCTTAGCTCAAGGGCTCTGGGTGTGTATTTGGTCATGTGATGGCGGGTGGGGGTGGACATTTATCTGGGATACACTCTGGAAGGTGATAAGGATAGCACTAGTGAAAGAGAGAATGGAACTAAGAAGGCAAATGAGGAAAGTAAGATCTCTTGGGACAAGAAATAGTCTGGAGAAGGGGAATTGAGAACCTTTGTGGAATAAAGAGGGGGAAGGCAACAGTGGGGGCACAGGGGGAAAAGAAGGTGATCACTCTGAGAGGTGGGGAGGAATATTACCCACTTAGAGTTCCCCTGAGAAGCAGGGAGGAGGGAGAGGACTCCCCACAGTATGAAACTCAGAGCTCACATCCATGTTTTCTTTTGCCCATCCCAGGATATTAGGAAGACGTGGAGGCGGTAAGTTTCACGTTTACTCTTTCTTCCTTTCTACTATCAGCAGTCATAGCCATCACCTTACCACTGGGCCCATATCTTTATCCCCACTAATAGGCAGTGTTTCTGGGGTGTTGGCCTCATCTATTTCTGCTCCAGAGAACTTGAGTGGGTTAGGAGTAAGGACTTCAGAATCAGCATCAGAAAGCAGAGGAGTGTCTAATGATTTCCTGACTCTTTGTCTTATCTGTCCAGATTTGATGCCCCAGCACCCAAGTTGTCTAACTCAGAGGAAGATCTCCCTGATGATTATCCAGTGGTCAAAAACATGCTTCACAGACTGACAGGTAAGGAAGAATGTAGGGAGGGAACTGAATAAGAGTCTGTGTTAACTTTGTACCCTTTTAGTTCTCAAAAATGGTTATTTCTTAGGACTGCTATAACAATGTACCATAATCTTTGTGGCTTACACAACAGACATTTATCCTAAATTCTAGAGGCAGAAATCTGAAATCAAGGTGTCAGAAGTATTGGTTTCTTCTAAGGACTGAGGAAGAATCTGTTCCTCATGTCTGTGCTAGCTTCTCATGGCCTTACTAATTCCTTGGCTCAGAGATGGTCAGCACATTATCTTCCTCCTGTATGCATCTGTCTGTGACCAAATTCCTTCCCTTTTTATAAAGCAGCAATCATATTGAATTAGGGCCCACCCTAACTGCCTCATTTTAACTTTATTACCTCTGTAAAAAGCCTATTTTCATATAAGGTCAATTCCAAGATATTGGGGTCTTCAGCATACCTTTTTTTTGGGGGGGGGGGGAGTAAAATTTAACCCAGAAGAGTATCTGTCCTCAATTCTTCATATTCCAGTCATTTTCTTCTTCCTTTTTCATACATTCAAACAGACCCAGGAAGTTAGCTGCCTCCCAGGAATCTCTCCTTCTACCACTTCATATCATTCTTCTCTACAGAGCCTCTTCCTTCCCCTTCTTTCCTTGCTCTCCACCCTTCTTTCAATTGCTTAGAGAAGATATTTCATCCTTTTAGTCACCCATCATCTCACCTAATCCAATTACTTCTAGTACCCCAATCCAGAAATCTTCCCTCAAAGCACCCCATACATACAAGACAATGTGTGTGTGTTTTCCTGATCCCTTTGGCTATCACCTCCTTCTCTCTCCTCTGCAACACACCTCCCAAAGAAATAGGCCTGTCCACCCCCACCTATGCTTGTGGGTGGGTGGCCTGGTTTTGCAGGATACCTTGGATTCTTCGTTTTGCCCCTCCCCTTTGTCTCTGGGGTTCTATCAGGTTATCAGTCTTTCTCTTTAGATCCACCTTCCCTATTCTGCTGACCCAGCTCCCATGCCCCACCCCAGATGCTGCATATTGAAATATTAGTCTTCATTCCTTCCCATGTAATCGGGTCAGTCTCACCCTTCCTTTCTCTAACACTACAAATCAGAAGGAAATCTTTGCTCTTTGAGCTGTGCCTCCTTCCCTGGACTAACATGTTCCTTCCTCACGACCAATTCCACAGAAGTTGTGCATAGTCCCTATCCTGTCCAGGCCTGCTCTTCATAAGCCTTTATCCTTTTTGGTCCTGCAGCCTCCTTTTGACCTTGTTTGTAGGGTCTTCAACAGTCTCTTGTGTACCGGCCACTGCCTATTCTCTGCGCTACCCCACCGGATTTAGAAAACCCTCTCACATAGTCCTCTCCTCGCCTCCTCCTTTCCAGCCGACTTGACGCTGGACCCTGGCACCGCACACCGCCGCCTGCTCATCTCCACTGACCGTCGCAGCGTCCGACTGGCCCCACCAGGAACCCCTGTACCCCTGGACGGCCCCGCGCGCTTCGATCAGCTCCCAGCGGTACTAGGTGCACAGGGCTTCGGGGCCGGCCGCCATTGCTGGGAAGTGGAGACCGCGGATGCTGCCTCTTACGGAGACTCTTCCGGAGAGGATGAGGACGACGGGGAGAGCTGCTATGCAGTGGGCGCTGCCGGGGAATCGGTGCAACGCAAAGGCCGCATCAGGCTGTGCCCAGCGGAGGCCGTGTGGGCAGTGGAAGGCCGCGGCGGCCGCCTGTGGGCCCTCACCGCACCGGAGCCCACCCTGCTGGGTGGCGCAGGACCACCGCCAAAGCGCATTCGTGTGGACTTGGATTGGGAGCGGGGCCGCGTGGCCTTCTACGACGGCCGCTCATTGGACTTGCTGTTCGCCTTCCAGGCGCCCGGACCCCTGGGGGAGCGCGTATTCCCTCTGCTTTGCACTTGTGATCCCCGGGCCCCGCTCCGCATTGTGCCAGGAGAAGGCTGAGAGCCTCCCTCCTGGCCCCTGAGTTTGGACCAGCTACTTTGAGGCTGTTTCCTCTAGTTGCTGAAACGGGTTCATAAGCCTATGCAATAGTATTAATAAGCACTCATCACCAATTCTCATTATCCCCATCCCCACAAACCTTACCAGGCCTCTAGGCTTTCACATCCTGGCCCCAAATCCAATAGCTCCTGCCCCCTTTCTCTTGGGGAATATCCCCCACCCCACTACTCCAGTACTTTCTGTTAGTTCTCCCTTTCTACACTATTCTAGGCCTCAATTGTGGAATTGGTTCAGCTTGTTAAGTACTGGTGAGCCATCCACATTTACTACACAGAGGTCCTGGCTTTCTTAACTTCAAAGGGTTCAGTGCCTTCTCCACTGTTGGAAGGCTTGTGCTTCCTGGTCCTGTCCATTTTGAGGTTTCTCCTCAAGAGAGGAAAAAGCCTTTTCCTAAAACAAGAAGCTTGAGGCTGGTTAGGCACTAGGGACCTCTAGGAAGCTTAATAGCACACCCACTTTTTTTTCAGGATGGGGGGGGAGTGTAAGCCAGTTCTATTCTACCTTCCTTTTGTGACTGCTTTCTGTGCTCACAAATTTTGCCTATTAAAACCCTTTGTAAAATTTTCCCCTGCACATACTCACAAAAAAGAATGAATGGTGCTACCCCTCTTTTTCTCAACCTGGGAGACACCCAGACATCCCCAAATGCATCCTTATACATAGTCTCACATCATTCCACTCCATGTATAAATGGGCCTGTATTTAACACATTTTGTGATGTTGGGTTATTTATTTTGTGCATCTGTGGCAATAAATGAGATCTCAGTGCTGATATGGATTTGACTGATCTCTGCAACTGTGCATGGCAAGAGACCTGGAAAATGATAACCAGGTCCCAGTGAAGGGTGGGGAGGACTGAGAGAGCTGGATATCTGGGTTGGCAGATGCATCAAAGCCTAGGAAGGAAGGGGTAGGAGTGTAATACAGGGTACATACCCCCATCTGTTTGCTCTCTCCCTTTTCCTTCCTCTCCCAGGGTCCTAGGCCCCTGGGATATGTTGGATGGCTCTGAAGCTAAAGGATGAAAGGCTGAAAAGATAGTTGGCTCTAAGTGACCAATATCAAATTATCTCTGTCAAAAATCCTACATCAAATGAAAAGGGTGGGGACAAAGGACATGACTTTCTTGTTCCACTTTCCCTTAGAAGTGAGAATGACAAAGACCTCTTTCTCTAACTCCGTTTGAGGGCATGAAGGGGTAGGAAGGAGGGGAAAATTTGGGAGCCCTGCAGTGTCCCATAAGACCTCATATCCTATAGGCAAGGACTAAGATTAGGGATTATATAAATGCATAAGTGGAAAAGCTCTAAGCCAAGATTAACAAGCACAGCTGGGGTGAGATGCCTGGAATCTGACTGGGACCCTGGCAGTGAAAGTTGGGACTACTGAAAACCCAGTTTAAGTGTTTGGGACTCAAATTGAGGGTGCGAGGGGCCAAGATAACTGGATCCCAGGACAGGCAGTTTGGCAGTAAGAACAAAGGAAAGAGACTGGGACCAAGATGCCTAGATCCCTGGTAAGGATGGGACTGGAAAGAGAAATGAGGGCTGGAAGAACCCAGAAGACTGGGTTCCGGAATAGCAGCAAGTCAGAATTCCAGGATCTCTGTCCACCCTCCTCTACTTCTTCCCTCTATGAGGCAAAGAAAAGGGAAGGAGGGGGCTGAAGAAGAAATCAAACCATGGATTTAGCCCCCAGGTAGCCACATGGATACATTCAGGGCCAGACAGACACAGGAATGATGGGGGAAAGAGGAATTTAGTGCTGCATTGGCCCTGGAGGGGGCTGGGAGGGGTCTGGAGGCTGAGGAGGGGTAGTAGGGGTCGGTCCTGGGGTTGCATGACTCCGTCCTTTGCGGTGGCCCCGAACACAGTGTGTATGACCACAGCCTTCCTCGTCCTCGTCCTCACTCTCCGTGGAGCTCTCACCAAAGGCCCGAGGTTTCTCATAAATACAGCAGCCTGGATTTGGAGGGAGGAGCTCAGTTAAAAAGAAAGAAGAATAAGATGTTCAATCAGTGCCATTCCTACTGGATCTCTGAAAATTCCTACTTCCACCTCTGTTTCCTCCTACCTTCTAGGATACAGTTTTCCCAGGCCCATTCCCAGGGACTCAGGCACTAACCCCTTTTATTTTGGGGGTACTGGGGACCGAACCCAGGGAGACTCTATCACTGAACTGCATCCCCAGTCCTTTTTTTTTTTTTTGAAACAGGGTTTTACTTAAAGTTATAGAGATTGTCCTCAAACTTATAACCCTCCTGCCTCTCAATCTCCTGAGTTGCTAGGATAACAGGTGCACCCCACTGCCCCTGGCCCCTTTAGACAGACAAGAATCTGAAACCCTGCTACTCCTACTTCTTATACCTCTTGCCATCAGACCTTGATATATCACTGTTCTAGCCCCTTCCTACCTTTTTCCTTCTAACTTTAACCTCTTTTCCCTGAGAACCACCAAAAGAATCACCAAGAAAGTGACAGAATTGTGAGCATCTGGGGCCAGTGGATGTTAGAAGGTAGATATACAGGAAGAAATCTAAACTCTAGGGTTCCTCTGAGCCCACAATAACTCACATTTTGATGAACGGCGTCCCATGTGTTCATTGTCTACTGTGTCACTCGTCCATTCCACCTTTTTTTCTGGCTTCCTTTTCCGAAGTTTGATAGTTAGACTCCGGTTCTCCTAAGGTTGAGAGGCATGAGCATACATATTAGTCTCCTACTGACTTCCTATTCCCTCCCAGAGGATCTCCTTTCTTTTCTTCCCTAGCTCAATCAGTTCCACAGATATAGCACCAGAGGAACCAAGTACTGGAAGAAAATAAAATAGAACAGGTCTTTGCCCTCAGGGCATCCTTAATAGATATAATTTCCTGTTCTCAATAACCATCAGTATACAAAGAAGACACAATTTCTAACCTAGGGAAGATCCCAGCAAATCTTCAAAGGAAAATACAATCCTTGTTGCTTCTCTGACTTTCTGCCCATATCATCCTTGGTGGTATTAGCACATAAAAATTACTTTCAGTCCCCAGTGACTAATCTTTGGGTTTTTTTCTCCAGATTCCCCTATTCCTTTTCCCATTGAAGGAGGAACTTCATTCATTCTTACCTCACTCATTCCCAAGCCCACCTTCCCCATCTCTTATCCACCTATTTCCTCTCATCCTTAATAACAATTATTACTAACTCCCTTAATTTGGAGATTAAACCCAGTGCAATTATCTTCCTTTGAAAGCACCTTAACTTGTTCTTGCAAATATACTACTTGTTTTCCCACTCACATCCTCCCCTCTGATTTCTGAAAATACTACCTTCATCTTCTTCATTTCCTCTATTTCCTTTTATACTCATGCACTTAATAGCTATGTATTAATAAGCATGCTTCTGGTTAAATACCCCTACAGCTGGCTTTCAACCATACTTTCTTACATTGACCTTTCATTTCCTCCCAGCATTTTTCTTGTTCCTTAATTCACAATTTCCTTTTTATCATTTATACGCTTTATTACAAACCACTACCCCAAGCAGCAACACCTATATCCCAACTATGACGTCCTACTGCATGTCTCTGCAACAGCCTCCTGCACCATCTCTGTCACTCCAAATATCCCCAATCCCTTGCGATTCTCTCAACCTCAGATATTCAATCCCAGACCTCCCAGATTCCCATGCCCAGTCGCTCCTTCACCTTTCGAAAGCCCTGTGCCCTCCCTCCCGGTATCTCCCAGACCCCTAAAGAGCACCGCCCCCCGCCTTTCTCACGGGCTCGGTTGTCACGGTAACCGTTGTCTCTGTGACGGTCTCACTCAGCCCGGCCCCTGCCTCCGCCATGGTTAAGGCTGAGGAAAAGGAGGAGGGGAGGAAGGGGAATGATACACCCTTCCCTTTTTCTGTGTCTCTGGGTTCTAAGAGAATCGGTATCCGATTCAGGTTAGTAGCAAGGATCCTCGGCCTCCTTTTTTCCCCTCCTCCAGGGCCTCCGTTTCCCCACCCGTGGGGATAACCTTCCAACCCCACTTCCGGCTCTCCACTTCCGGGTGTGACGCATTCTGCAGTCCCGCATTTCCCTTCCCCAGCACCAAATGCGTCAAAGCGCAGGCGTCGCCAGTTTAGTTCCGCCTTAATGTGACAGCGCGCAGGCGCTGCAAGAAGGCTAAACAAATTCAGCGGAAGGGGCGTCACTGCGGCTGTGGGAAGAGGGCAGTCGCGGGTTAAAGCAGAAAGGGGCGCTTGGAGGGGTAGGGTTGGGTCAGACGCAGCGGACCAGGTGCGGCGAGACGGGTCGCTTGGGGGCTGTTGCACGGAATTGAGATGCTAGTGGCTGACCCCACCCCGCCCCCTCCCTAAACTTGAGTGAGTGGGTGAGAGACCCGGGGAATAGGTGCAATAGTGAATCTTGTCTAGTTTTCGTTTCGTTATTGGTCCCTCTCGGTTTCTTTAACGAAAAATGGAACCTGGGAGCGGTTGGAAACCCACGATTAAGAATGAAGCAATCGAGCTGAGCGGGGTGGGGCATGCTTGTAATCCCAGCGGCTGGGGAGGCTGAGACAGGAGAATTGCGAGTTCAAAGCCAGCCTGAGCAATAGCCAGGCGCTAAGCAACTCAGTGAGACCCTGTCTCTAAATAAAACACAAAATAGGGTTGGGGATATGGCCCAGTGGTCGAGTGCCCTGAGTTCAATTCCTGGTACCTGGATTCGACACTCCGCCAAAAAAAAAAAAAAAAATCAAGCAATCCAGGGGCTGGGATGTAGCTTAGTGGTAGAGCGCTCGCCTAGCATATGTGAGGCACTGGTTCAAGCCTCAACACCATATAAAAATAAAGAAAGAAAAGAAAAATATCGTGTCCATCTACAACTAAAAAATTGGAAAAAGCAATCAGGATTCTAGTTGTCGCCCTGCCTGTAGGTGTTTGAGCAGAGGGCACTTAATACACCTTCAAACTGGATTTTTCCATTCTACTAGGCCTTGGAGATGGCCTAGTAGATGCTTTTTCACTCCCAGTCTGGTGAAAAAGACAGGCATGCTCAAAACTAACCGAAGTATAAAACACTGAGGAGGCATTAACATATTAGTGAATATTAACATATTAGTGAATCTGATGAATGATGTGAATTTAGCTACATACTGCTTACATATTCTCTGGGGTGGAAAAGAGTACATTAACCTGTTGCAGTAATTCACTTGCAGGTCAGCATGAGAAAGAAAGAAATAAGAAGCAGAGCAAGCAAAGCAGCAGCAGAAAAAAAAGTCCTTTATTGTGTACAAGCAATCTTTTTATAGTATTGTGAACAAAGAAGGCAGCCTTCCAACATCAATGAATCAGGTCTTTCAGCTAATTAAACATAGCACACAGAAGTTTTACTTTCTAATCAGAAGTGACCCACTTCTCATGGCTAATCTACTCTCGGCCTGGAGCATGTCGAGCTCTGCTCTTGTTAAAAACAGATAATAAATTTTTTCTTAGCGCCCTCCTAGCCCACTTGGCAGAACATCCCGTTTGCACGCAAGTCCTCCCAAGGACAGCAGACACCTCGTTTTCAAGCATGTCCGCTGTTACCTTATCTAAACCTTGAGGGAGCCTCTGGTTTGCGAGCAGGCCCTCCCAAGGACAGCAGACACCTCAAGCATGTCCGCTGTTACCTATCTATACCTTGACAGAATATCCCGTTTGCAGGCAGACTCCATCAAGGACAGTAATAGTAATGCAGTCACATCTGATTCTCTACATTAACCAGAGAAAGTTATATCATTTTATACAAATATGTGCACGTTTTTCAAGGAGCAAAAGAAAGTGGTAAAAGAAAAACCGGAGGGCAGACATATTTTGTTTTTAGGTAGAGAGCTTATAAAGTAGTAGGTGTGTACATTGATTTATACTATACATTATGGTTTAATACTACTGGGAGTAGGGGGAGTGCCATATTAGGCTTGACAGTTAAGCAGTGGTTTCATGGAAGGCCCTGCATGCTTTGCTAAGAGAACTTTATCCAGCCTGTTGTTACCAGCCATAGAAAGGCTTAAAGTAGGGTAGAAACATATTTGTGTGAAATTTCCAGAGAGGTCAGGGGGTCCACTGCCAGAACAGTCAAATGTATAGTGAGGAAGAATGCCCTGCCCATCTGCACCTTGTGAGGATCAATCAAACAAGATAGTGTGATGTTTAAGAGCTGTGAATATATGAAGGACCATAGAACTACAAGAAATCATTGTTACTCTTGTCCCTTGGTCATAGTTTATATCGAAGAATGCAGAGATGCTGTTTCCCAGAATCAAAATTTGAATGTTTTGTATTGTGCATTTGTTTCTCTGGAAAGTTTTTGGGGAAAAGAAAAATTCAGCATGTATACTACATAGCCCATTTTTAAAAATGTGATCTCCACACATACCTATATAAACACATATATATTGACTATCTCTGGGAAGTGGGATTCCTTTGAATTCGACTTTTTGTTTCATTTTATATGAGTCTATTTACAATGAATGTATATTAATCTCAAGAGTCAATGAAACAAAACTTTCCGAAATGCCCATGCATCCCTTGGTATCTTTTGTATGTGGGGGGGACAGTAATTTGGAATTGAACCCAGGAGAGTTCTCCAACCAGGCCACATTCCTTGCCCTTTCATTTTTAATTCTAAGGCAGGGTCTTGCTGAGTTGCTTAGGGCCTAGGTTGTTGAGGCTGGTCCCAAACTTGCAATCCTCCTGCCGCAGCCTCCTCCCTGAGATTAATGTGCACCACTGTGCCCAACCCCTGGGTATCTAATTTTTTTGTTGTCTGTTAAATTTATATGTCAAATAGATCTGGTTAAATCTTATGTTGAATCTCTCATTATCCAAACCCCCAGTTTTTGTTTCCTTATAATCAGGAACCAAACAGATTTAGACGTAGGGAATACTTAAAATTGCTTTTTTCTCTTTTACAATACTGGAGAATGAACCCAGGGGCACTCTACCACTGAGCTACATCCCATTCCTTTTTATTTTTTGAGACAGGGTCTTTCTAAGTTACCCAGGCTGACCTCAAACTTGCAATACTTCTGTTTCAGCCTTCCAAGTTCCTGGGATTACAGGCATGTGCTGGGCTTATAATTGCTTTTTTGCATTAGCCTCACTCCTGCAGTTTCATTATTTTGCCCTTGTATTTTTCTCCTTAATAAGCTAATTTAAGTTCCTTTTGAAATAAGACACATTAAAAATTACACATATATTCAGGTTTTATAGAAAAATGTAACTTTAATAAATTCAACTGGGATAGTAGTAGGTGGGAGACCAATGGTAGTCCCCATGTAAGATCTGATTATTCTCTGGGAGCAAAACACTGCAGAGGAGATAGACAAGAACCAATATCCTTCACCTTCCAAGGAAGAAGAGGATGTACTGTAGAGTTGCCCAGAAAAAAAGATCAAGAATCTTCCTTTTCCTGAAACCTATGAAGAAAGAAAGGACTTGTAATATTCAACCAAAGGAAGAGTTTCTAGTTATATGAGATGATATAATCAATAAAATAATCAGGAAAGGACTTTTATTTGTGCATTGTAGAGAACTAGCTCCCTTAAACAATCTTCCAATTCCAACTTTAAAACAACTGAAAATGCTGGGATTAATACTAATATCTAATTATTAATTAATTAATATCTATTATTAATCAAAAAATGTGAAGATTTTCTTAGCACTCTTCATAGAAGAAAAAATAAATAAACCGGGCCTCATAAAAAATTAAAAACTTCAGATTGGGGTTTAGGCCTGTGCTAGGGAGTATGTTTAATATATGCAAGGCCCTGGGTTTCATCCCTATTAAATACTTCTGTTCATAAGAAAGGAATTTCACTGCCTCAACAGATAGAGGAGAGAAAATATTGCAAGAATTTCTTCTATAAGCTGGCCTTTACATGAATAAGCAGCTAAAATTGATATTACTTGCATGCTCCTAAAAATATGAAGCCAAGAAGTTATCATAGTGATTCTAGGATTTGGGCACATGTAGCTCGGTGGTACAGCACTTGCCTAACATGGGCAAGGCCTTGAGTTTGATTCCTAGCACTGCCACAGAAATGAAAGTAGAGCGATCCCCACTTGGTAATGCCTCAAGGCACTTGAAAAAGAAACAAATGCGGGCTGGGGTTATAGCTCAGTGATAGAGCATTTGCCTAGCATGTATGCGCCACTGGGTTCGATCCTTAGCATCACATTAAATAAATAAATAAAAGCTTTAAAAAATGAAATTAAAAAAAAAAAAAAAAAAAAGAAGAAAGAAATGCTGAGAATACAGCGTCACCCCACCCCCTGGGGTATTCCACAAAAAAGCACTGAGAGAGCCAGCAGAAATAGCAGATAGCAGCATCAGACTCACAAGAATTGTGGTTATCAGACTCAGAAAAAACAAGTGTAATGTTACTTAACATACATTTAAAGAATGGCTGGGCATGGTAGCTCACACCTGTAATCCCAGTGGCTCAGGAGGCTGAGGCAGGAGGATCATGAGTTCAAAGTCAACCTCAGCAAAGCAACTCAGTGAGATCTTGTCTCAAAAATACAAAATACAGCTGGGGATGTGGCTCAGTGGTTGAGTGCTCCTGAGTTCAATCCCTGAACCCAAAAAGAAAAAGAAAAAAAGGAGCAAGGGTTGTTAACAGGCAGGATCAAAAAAAATGAAAGAAAAGCAAGAATAAAAGGAGAAGTTTAGAATATGATTAAGGAGTGAAAATTTTTTAAAATGAGGATATTTGAAAAAATAATTAAGTAGAAATCAATAATAGTAACTAACAATAACTGAAATAAATTGAAGATAGAATTAGTGACCTAGAGGGACCTGAAGAAATTATCCAGAAGGCAACATAAAAAGAAATGAGATAAAATATGAAGGATAATAAAAATGGATGATACAAGAGAAAATTTTATAACATATTATACCTTCAGGAAGTGAGAATTGAAAACATGGGAGAAAAACAATGTTAAATGAGATAACAGCTGTTAATTTTCCAAGGTTGATGAAAAATTCTCAGCTTCAGAAAGTCTAATAAATCCCAAACTATACAGGATAAATAAAAGAAAGCCATATCTGATATACTGTATTGAAACTGCAGAACAGCAAAGACAAAGAGGACTTCTTAAAACTATTTAGAAAGCCCATGTTTTTTTCCTTATTCTTTTTTTTTTTTTTAAAGTACTGGGGATTGAACCCAGAGGCTCTTTACCAGAGCTACATCACCAGTCCCTTTTTTATTCTGAGTTAGGGTCTTGTTAAGTTGCCAAGGCTGGCCTAGAACTTCAATTCCTGTCTTAGTCTCTAGCCCTCCAGAGTAGCAGGGATTACAGGAGAATGCCAATGCACCAGGCCCATGTTCTTTACTTCATGCATGTCTCTCACCAAAAGAAAACTACTTTGATTGCATTTGAAGATTCCATCATAACATACTGATCACCAAGCAATACCTGCCTGTGTTTTAAAATTTCCTTTTAAATAACTTACAAGATTCAGTTCACTTAGTATAAAAAGGGGTAAAAGTATCATTTAAAAAAAATTAAAAGGCCACAAATCTCCCTATTAGGGATGGAGCCAAATAAAACAATTGTTTAGTACTACAAGTCTCACTTGAGTTTGAACGGGCAGAGGGAGAGGAAAGGATACCTACTTGCAGTTGGTACATGTGTAGAAGACAGTCTGTCCTTCATCAGCTGAGCGCATCTGTCTGGTGTGGTATGCCATTCCCTCATGACCACACTGAGAGCAGCGCCTGTCAACCTAGAGAGAAACTGGTGGATTAGGAAGGCCTAGTCATACCTCCCTACCTTTCACAGAAGTCAAGCTGTCATATTCCTCAGATATCCTCATCTAAAAACCCCCCCCCCCCCACACCTGCTCTCTCTTAGAATTGGGTACAAAACTCCCTAAAGCTCAGGAAATAATACCAAGAAATAATAGGTGGGATGCATCAAATTAAAAAACTTCTGCACAGGAAAGGAAACAAGAATGTGAAGAGTGAACCTACATGAGAAAAATGTTTGCCAGCTATTCTTCTGAAAGAGGATTAATACCCAAAATACATAAAGAACTAAAAAAGCCCACTTAATATTTAAAAAAAAAACTAAATAACAAATTAATAAATGGGCAAATGAACTAAAATAGACACTTTCCAAAAGAAGAAACACATGACCAACAAATATATGAAAAAATGTTCAACACTGTAGGGAAATGCAAATCAAAACTACACTGAGATTTCATCTCACTCCAGTTAGAATGGCAGCCATCAAGAATACAAACAATAGGCTGATGAGAATATTGGGTTAAAGGAACATTTTACACTGTTGGTGGGGTTGTAAATTAGTTCAACCACTATGGAAATCAATGTGCAGGTTCCTCAAAAGACTAGAAATTGGAAATACCATGTGACCCAGCTATCCCACTCTTTAGTGTCTATCCTAAAGAATTAAAGACATCATATTATAGCTATATATGCATACCTGTTTTTGGCAGCATAACTCACAATAACCAAATTATGGAACTAGCCTAGGTGGTGCTCAATATAGGAAAAAAATGAAGAAAATGTGGTGTATGTATTCAATGGCATTTTATTCATTCAAGTCATAAAGAAGATGAAATTATGTCATTTGTAGGAAAATGAATGGAATTTCAGGGCATTCTGTTAAAATAAGTCAAACTCAAAAAATTAAAAATGATTATATTTTCTCTCATAGGTGGAAGCTAGAGAGGAAAAAGGAAAGAAGGGGGGGGGGGGAATCTCATGGAATTGAGTACAAAAACTCCAGATCTCTGCAATCACACCTCCATAACTTTCCCACTCTTCTTATGGAGCCAGTCCTTGATCTTGGAGTAACTTACCACAGGTCCCTGGATCTCAGGTCCTTCCTCCACCGACATAGGCAAGGCTGTCCCCAGTTTGTTAAATACAACTGAGGTCTTCACGATTTTCCCTTCAAAGTCTGTACAGGCAGTAAAAACTAATTGTAGAACCGGGCCGAGGGACGGAATTACCCTCCCAATTAGTCCCGGAGGCCTCTTTCCGTTTCCTTGCTGGACTAAATGTACAAGAGCCTGACTTCTGCTCTTGGGTCCCCCCCCCCCCCGGCCCCCCCCCCCCCCCAGTCTCGAGATCCCCAGCCTCCAACCCTTCCAAGTTGGGCCCTCGGCTGGAACAAATGCCTAGGATCTTCTCACCCCGCACATTGATGGAAAAGCCACAGCGAATACAGGTGACCTCATCCTGAGCCCCGGGCAGAGGCAGGACCGAGCCGCAATCCGGACAGAAATCCAAGTCCGACTGAAAGCTAGAGCAGGTACTGGCGTGGTCCATGATGGACAATAGGTCAAGGGCTAGGAAGGGAACGCAAAGTTTATTAATAAACCAACAATAAAGCGGAAACTCCTTTCAATTTAGGGATCATTCTTCTTCGGCCCCAGAAAGCAGATATGGAGAACCCTCACCCTTCCCTCACACACGCCTCCTGCCTCGGCTACTAAGGAGCCCATAGGCCGGGACTCCCCCGGCTGTTAAGGACTGAGGGACTTGGGACCTTTCTTGGGACCGGCAAAGGGACTCACTAACTCCGTAGGCTAGAGCGCCGGTTTTGTGCCGACTGCGGAGCAGCGAGCGCGTGGTGTGCTAGAGCGTCAACACGTTAGCGTTTCGCTTGGCCCGTGACGTCATAATCAGTCGCAGATGTCATAATTAATCGCGAACCTTCTCCTGAATTAGGGAAGAAGCAGAACTTCTCCGACAGGTAGCTGTCTCACTCCACGTTCGGCCCGAAACTGTGACGTCAAGTAAGAATCACGAGGAACCAGTGCTGGACCTCTAGGACTCAGTCCTGGGATTTTTTTTTCCTGCTTTGTATCCTAAAGAGACCTAGTCACGGGGTCGGGGGTAGTCCCCCTAAAAATGTACTTTTTTTTTTTTTTTAACCGAATACCTACTCGATTGGGTTAGCAAACTACAACTCCTGTCGTTCCTCAGCGGGCACGTCTCTTTTGAGACTGCGCAGTGGTTAAAAACAAAGCTAAGCGTTCTGGGATTTGTAGTGTTGCCTGGGCCCTCCTAGCCTAGCCTAGGCTGCAGTCAGCGTGCGTCGTGTGTTCTTTTGGGGGAGTTCAGGGCACTTGGAAGGGGTGAGTCCATTTTTTAAGGGTCAGGGAATGGTGAGAGTGAAGAAAGAGGAAGATGCCTGGTCCCCGTGGAACGAAAGGAATAAGAGATGGAATGGGTCGCTTGGGAAGGAGCTCAGGATTTGGAGGTAATGAACAGATGAGATGGGGCACCTTTCTCCTAGGGTTCTGCCAGCTGAGGGAGGCTAGCATTAGTCAAGAGCGCCCCTTTGGTAGGATTTCATAAGACTTTTTTTTTTTTTTTTTTTTTTTTTTTTTTTTGCTTTGTGACTGTCTTCCATCCTCCCCTACTTTCTTTTTGTCCAACTCTGAATCATCCTTTTCATTCCTTGGGTGGCAGCTGACATTCCTCTTCCCTTTTATAAAACAATAAGTCTCTGTAGAAAATTTTTAGCCTATAGTGTAAATAGAAACTTGTCCCGATGGGGCAGCTTCTAGATGAGTTTCCTAGTTCCATTTCAGCCCTCCCAGCACTATCCAATCTCATAGCAGTGTTAAGCTCCTTCATATAAAAGTTCTGAAGTCATTACTGTTTTCTCTTTTGAAGGACACAAGCTGTGATATTTCCTTAGGAAAGACATCTGTCTACATATCTCTGCAATATGACTTCATGGTGAAGGAGCTAAGACTCTTGGCAAGCTACTGTAGAATGGCAAGCCCATATTCACTTAACTCTGGAAGTGTTATTTTGTTTTACAAAGGAGGTGTGTTTCCCATGATGATAAGCAAGTGTTTTTGTTTTCTTTCTTTCTTTTTTGATGACACTAAGGATTGAACCTAAGAACGTCTATCACTGAACTATAGTAACCAGTCTTTTTTATTTTTTATTTTGAGACAGGGTCTTGCTAAATTGCCCAAATTGACCTTGAACTTGGAATTCTTCCACCTCAGTCCCCAGAATAGATGGGATTACAGGTGTGCGACCACCACATTCAGTGGTAGGCAGTCTTTATTTTTGCTTTTCTGTGTGTCTTTTTCCTTTCAAAGTGGAAATTGAAATTAGTCATCCTTGTTCACCATCTTGCCCTTTATAGTTTGATATCCAGCAAACACCCACTATTTTAATACTTGCCTAATGCAATAAAAGAATACAAGCATTATAAGATATGGCTTTTTCTGAACAAAAGCTTACAATCTGCGCATTATTTGTTAAACACCTATGCCAGGCTTTGAGCTGAGGTTGGGGCTGCAAAGTTGAAATCTGAGAACTTAGAACACAGTTGAAGCCTGGTGCTGTTGCATGTACCTAGTCCCAGCAACTTGGGAGACTGAGACAAGAGAATTGCAAGTTTAAGGCCAGCCTGGGCAACTTAGTGAGACCCTGTCTCAAAATAAAAAATACAAAGGACTGAGGATATAACTCAGTGGTAAAGTGCCCCTGGGTTCAATCCCCAGTACCATATAAATACATATGAACAATACAATGAAAATGCATTAATAAGTATAACATATGAGAGCCTAGATCAGACAGATAAAATAAACACTCATCAACTTTAGGGAAGATTGCTAAATGCTCTCATAAAAAGATGTAGACCAATGTTATAGTGAATATTGAAAACCTATGTCAGGTTTTCAGTGAGGCTGGGACTACAAAGTTGAAACGTGTTTTTACTAACACAAAAGAATAATTAGAGCACAATGAAAGTGCATTAGTAAGTACAAAATGGGAGACCCTGAGTCAGACATATAAACAAACATGTCTATAAACCTCAAGGAAGACTGGTAAATGCTTTAATAAAAAGATAGGTAAATACAATATTATGGTGAATATAAGAAAAAGATTCTTAGATATTACGTGATGAGGTAATCAGCAACCAAATCAAGAGTTTTGAGAATTTGGAATTATAGACTAAGTACTGTATTAGATATGTACTGTATGAGTATGTACAAAAAAATGAAAGATGCCATTTTTATTAAATCTCAAGCTAGGTACACATAGACAAAAAAGAATGTGCTTTCAAAGTCAGTGAGACCGCTGGTTTCAGTGGCACATGTCTGTAATCCCAGCAGATTGGGAGGCTGAAAGCAGGAGGATGGGAAGTTCAAAGCCAGCCTCAGCAACTTAGCGAGGCCCTAAGCAACTCAATGGGACCCTAACTCTAAATGAAATATAAAAAATGGCTGGTATGTGGCTCAGTGGTAAGCACCCCTGGGTTCAATCCCCAGTACCAAAAAAAAATCAATGAGACCAAATATTAGATATCTCCTCCAATAATATAGGTAAGTCATTATATTTTTAGATATAAATTATAGCTCCCATCTTTTATAAGCCTAAATTTCAAAATCAAAATATTAAAAGTCATATCACATCATAATGGAAATCATGGTTGATTTTCAAATGAGCTGTAGAAATAGTGTTTAGAGGAGGGAAATCACTGACAAAGTAGACCGGAAAGACTTCATGAAGAATTGCAGGGGGGGGGGGGGGGGCGGGGGGCGGGGGATGTGGCTCAAGCAGTAGCGTGCTTGCCTGGCATGCGTGCGGCCCGGGTTCCATCCTCAGCACCACATACAAACAAAGATGTTGTGTCCGCCAAGAAGTAAAAATAAATATTGAAATTCTCTCAAAAAAAAAATTTAAAAAAAAAAGAATTGGGGGTTTGGGGGTAGGGTTGTGGCTCAGTGGTAGAGTGATCACCTAGCACACGTGAGGCACTGGGTTTTGATCCTCAGCATCACATAAAAAATGAAATAAAGATACTGTGTCCATCAACAACTAAAAAAATAAATATTAAAAGAATCAGAGGCTTGACTTGTGAAGGACAGATAGCTACCATTTACCATTTACTGAGAACTTCCTATACGTCAAGCATTATGTCAGTCTCTTTACATCTAATTTACATTTGTTTTTATCACCCCGAGAGGTAGTTTTTGGTCTTATATCTTTTATAAATGAGGAAACTGACCTAGGGAGAAGTTAAATGAATTGTCCTGAGTCACATAACTAGGAAGTAATGGAATTAAGATTCAGTTTTAGCCTTGTCAACCTCTAATGTCCATGCCTTTAATCATCAGTGCTATAAAGGGCACAGAGATATATATATCAGGCATCCTCAATGGCTTAGGTATGACCTCACAGTAAACTCAGGCTAGACACATAAACTCAGGGACAACACATAGAAAGTTGGTAGTCTTCACTTGTGTTGCTGTCAACCTGCCCTATAAGTAAACCAGAGTAACCGTAAATTCCCATCCTGCGGGGTTCAACAGGGAGTGGTCTCGTAATGCATTTAGGGTGAAGGATGATTGCCAACATAAGGAGGACAAGCAGAGGGGTGGACCATCAAATAAAAACAGAATTTCAGTACAAAACTTTAGAGAGCAGAGATGCTGTATGTACTGATAGAGGCACAGAGGGACCGGCCCAAGAAACTGCAGAAAGACGATGAACTGATAAAACCAGAGTCTAGAATTATATCAAAAGACAAAAGAGGCCAGGGGACTGAGCCATCTGAAATAAGTGTAATTGGACAACACGTCACCAAGGAGCCTATTTCTTCCCTCTTGAAACCCCTGATACAAGATTCAGAATGGTTCACATTGAGTCCAGAAGAGAAGTATGCTTTTAATTCATATGAAAGGAAAGATTCTCTTCTTATTAAAAGAGCATTCATTGGGCTGGGGATGTGGTTCAAGCGGTAGCATGCTCGCCTGGCATGCGTGCGGCCCGGGTTTGATCCTCAGCACCACACACAAACAAAGATGTTGTGTCCGCTGAAAACTAAAAAATAAATATTAAAACTCTTTCTCTCTCTCTCTCTCTCAAAAAAAAAAAAAAAAAAAAAGCATTCATTATTCTCCACTATAGAAATGCATTGGCTCCCCACTGCCTGTATAGTCCTGCCTATTAGCAGGTTTTCTCTTTGTGGGAGAAATGTTCCTAGTCTTGGCCAAAATATTTAGGGTCTTTGACCCAGACAATATGTAAGTAGATATGTTAACATCTCCCACATTCTAATCTATCTTTGCTTTTTAATCTTCCAGATTGGCTTGGGCTAAAGCATCTAAAGACCCTAGGATTGCTGCAGATCAACATTCTCCACTGGAGAAAAAGATATTGGTAAATAAGCTATATTCATATCAGACATTTAGGAACTACTCAGAGAAGGAACTTCAGGTGCCCAGTGACACCTTCAGGTAGAAACATTACACATTAGTAATGTTTCCCAGACATTTTCATAGTTGCAAAGTGAAATATCATTTTGAAGATTCCCAACATTATGTATTTTTAAAGCTAGTTATTGATCATTGGTGGGTACTTAATATTTTATACTTTTGAGAGTAATATGGAACTTATTACATTAAAGTAAATTTAAAAAGCAAGTATTAATAAGGAAGGTAAGCTCCTGTTTAAATATGTTCAAAGGAAAAATATGATCACATTATAAAATTCTGAACCTCACTTTGACAGAATCTAGGTGGCGTGCATACAACAGCAGCAAGACACTTGATGAGTAGGAAATGTCAAGAAGAGTATGAAACACTCTGTAGGGAACAAGCTGTTTCTCTTGACTACTGGCTTTCCAAAGCAGAGTCTTATTATAATAAAAGATTAGTGGAAATGTTGAAAGAAGAGAAGACTGGCAATGAAATGAATACAGAAATGGAGGAGAAAACAACCCAAAGCATAGAGGGACAAAAACAGTCCTATTGGGTACCTGAGAGAGAGAGGAAACAGATACAAAGGCACATACATGGAACAGGCCAGGCCAGAGAATTTAAAAGCAAAACATTTAGACAACCAAGACCCCTCAGTGCAACAATATTACCAAAAATTAAGCCAGAAAAGCATAGCATCCCAAAAGCACAGAGAAGAAAGCAGGTAAATGAGAGACAACAGATGCAAATTAAAGATCATCAAGAACGCATGATTCGAGGGAGAGAACTTATAGAGCAAAAACTCAAGGAAAGAATTTTGAGGAAAAGTCAGAGCCAGCTACCTACATATGAGAAGCAAGAGAGAATACAGAAAGAGGTAAAAGAGTTTGAAAGAGTTATTGCATATCCACTTTTCCAGCCTCGCAATAGAAGTCGGATTAAAGTGAATATTCTTATGGAAAAGCATCAGAATACAGAGGAAGTGGATACAATTATAAAGCCACATCAAAGAAGATTCTTGGTTGTGCCACCCTTTTTGAAAAGCCAAATAAGGAAAATAAAAGCTTAGTAAAGTTTCAATGCTTTTGTGATGAAATCATACCTCTTAAATGAACCTTAATTTCTTAAGAGTTGTCTCTGCTAAGGGTGTAGTCATTGTTCCCATTTGTATCACATGCATAAGTATTAAGAAAGTTCTGAACTTGAAAACTTGCTTAGCTATTTTTGGTTGCTTTGTAATCAAGTTGCTTATGCTTTTCAGTGTTCAATTTCCTTATTTGTAAAGTTTGCCTATCCTTTTCAATGTTCAATTTCCTTATTTGTAAAGTGAGGATAATATTTCATAGAATTTATGGGAGGATTGTGATTTTTGTAGAGCATTAATATGTATTAGTTTCCCTCCATGAGGAAGATCTAGCTTGAGTGATGGTGATAAATAAGGAACTTAAAAGGAACTTTTTTCATCTGCCTCTCTGATTCCTCCTGCTCCCACCCTCAAGATTATCTTGATATTACTATGATTCAAAATACCCCCTTTTACTTAGGTGGATACATTCATACCTTCATCAGAGAACTACTAACTGGGCCCTAAAAAATCTAAATTGTGCCATATAACTTATTGCATGATAAATTTGATTTTAAGAATCTCCTATTTGTAATGCATCATGTTAATTACTGGGGATGAATAAAGAGAAATCCCTGCCATTGAGTAGTTTACAATTAATGGCAAAAATCACTCAGTAAACAGATAACATATATGGTGAGGGTTATGATAGAGGTGTGTACAGAACACTGTACAAGAAAGGACATTAACCCACCTAGATGAGCAGGGTGAAGAAGATGGAAGTCAGAGAAGGTAGTGTTGTAGTCTCACATTTCTTCCAGTTCCACATTTTGTCATTTTCTATCATCCACTTAAGTAAGGCTTTCCCTATTTGTGGATTCACTCAGGGTTAAGCAAACTCAGCCTCTCTCAAACACATGCCACTAGTACTTATTTTAAACCAGAAAGCAAATTTATGAATTTAGTGGAATTTTAATTACCAAGCACGATGTAATTTATTGTTTTCGAGAAAGTCATTTTCTTTCTAGATACCAGAAATTTGTGGAAGCAGTATTCATCATTGGTGAATAGAGAACCAGAGAAATGGAAATTGGTTGCCCTAAAGAATATTTTACTTAAGTTGTAGTAATCCTGATGCTCACCCTCTTGTACTACTAGTACTCTCCTGACCATGAATATTTCTAGATCTGTATTGTGCAATAGAACTTTCAGCAGCGATAGAAATGTTCTACATCTGGGTTCCTCAGTAGATTAGCCACTGACAAATGTGTCTAATGCAGCCAAAGGAACCAGATTTTTAAATTTTAATTAATTTAAATTTAAATTGCCGCGTGTGGCAAGTGACTACCCTATTACACAGTGTAGCACTGGATAGGATAATCCTGGGTTCCAGATTCCAGTACCACCATCAGTTTTTCTGTCTTTGATAGTATTTGCTTCTTTTATTTTCTTTTAGCCTCAAAGGATTGTGAGAACTTACATTATTTTGTAAGCCCAAAAATAATGGGCTTAGAGTGAGTACATAGTAGTTCTTTAAAATTTAAAAAAAATCCAAATGTGGGCTGGGGATGTGGCTCAAGCGGTATCGCGCTCACCTGGCATGCGGGCGGCCCAGGTTCGATCCTCAGCACCACATACAAAGATGTTGTGTCTGCTGAAAACTTAAAAAAACAAATAAATAAATATTAAAATTCTCTCTCTCCTCTCTCTCTCTCTTAAAAAAAAAAAATCCAATTGACCACATGGTAATTGTACATATTTATGGGGTTAGAGAATGATATTTCATTATATGTGTACATTGTATAATAAACAGATCAGGGTAATTAGTATACCTACCACCTGAAATATTTATTGTTTCTTTGTGTTAGGAACATTCAAAAAATTTTTCTAATAGCCATTTAGAAATACCGTTGTCAATGTATTACCTTATTGTGCTGTAGAATATTAGAAGTTATTTCTCCTACTAAACTGCCCATCTGTACCCATTCATTATCCTTTCTCTCCGTATCTTTTCTCCTCTCTATCCTTTCTAGCCTCTGGCAACCATTATTCTATTCTCTGTTCCTGTGAGATAAACTTTTTAGACTTCACATACAAGTCGAGAGCATGTAGTATTTATCTTTCTGTGCGTGACTTATATTACTTAATTTAATGTTCCATCCATGTTGCCACAAATTATATAATTTCATCCTTTTTATGACCAAATAATATTCTGTTCAGTATATATACCATATCTATTATATTTATTCGCCTTTTAATGGGCACCTAGGTAGATTCTGTATGTTAGCAATTGTGAATAGTATCATAATAAACAGAAGTGCAAATGTCTTTTCGACCTACTAATTTTATTTACTTTAGATATATATCCAGTAGTGGGATTGCTGGATGATGCATAGTTCTATTTTCAATTTTTAAGGAACCTCCATATTGTATCTTAATGACTATACCAATTTACATTCCCATCAACAGTGTATGAGAGGTCCTCTTTCTCTGGATCCTTATGAGCATTTGTTATTTTTTTCTTGATAGAAGCTATTCTAATTGGGGTGAGATGATATCTTTTTTTGGTTTCGATTTGCATTGCCATGATGATTAGTGATTCACATAGTTCCTGAGAACATTTGTATATCTTCTTTTTTTTTTTTCCTATTCAGAACTCATTTTTATATCCAGATCCTTTTTTGTTGTTGTTGTGAGTTGTTTGAGTTTTTTATATATTCTGAATATTAGTTATAATGAATTATAATAATTAGTTATAATGAACTCCTATAAATTGATAAGTAAATTCAAGTCACCTATAAGTTAGTGTGATATTAGTCTCTTGTCTGATAAATAGTTTGCAAATATTTTCTCCCTTTCTATGTGTTGTCTCTTAACTCTATTGTTTTTTTTTTTTTTTGTGTGTGTGTGTGTGTGTGCAGAAGAATTTTAATGCCTGTGTTTTTGGGGTCTTATCCAAAAAATATTTGTCCACACCAGTGTCCTAGGCATTTCCTCAGTTTCTCTGTAGTAGCTTTGGGTTTTACATCTTTGATCCATTTCAAGATTTTTTTTTCTACTACATATTGAACCCAGGGGTGCGTAACCACTGAGCCACATCACAGTCCTTTTTATTTTATTTATTTTATGTTATTTTATTTTATTTAAATTTATGACAGGATCTCACTAAGTTGCTTAGTGCCTCACTAAGTGGCTGCGACTGGCTTAGAACTTGAGATCCTCCTGCCTCAGCCTTCCAAGCCACTGGGATTATAGGTCTGTGCCACTTCACCCAGCTCAAGTTCATTTTTGTATGTGATATAAGATTTGTGCCTAGTTTTATTCTTTCGCAAATGAATATTCAGTTTTCCTAGTACCATTTGTTTAAAATATCATCCTTTCTCAAATGTGTATTTTTGGTACCTTTGTTAAAAATCTGTTGTGGATTTATTTCTGGGTTCTCTACTCTGAAGCATTGGTGTACATGTCTCTTTTTATGCCAGTATCACACTATTATGATGGCAGTAAAATAGTATGTTTTGAAGTCAAAATTTGCTCATTATTACTTTGGCAATTCTGGGGTTTTTGTGGTTCCATAAAAATTTAAGGAGTATCAAGCACAGTTTCATACACCTGTAATCCCAGCGGCTCTGGAGGCTGAGGCAGGAGGATCCAAAGTTCAAAGCTAGCCTCAGAAACTTAGGAAGCCCTATACAACTTATCAAGACCCTGTCTCTAAATAAGATATTAAAAGGGATGGGGATGTGGCTCAGTGGTTAAGCACCCCTGGGTTCAATCCCTGGTCCCACCTCCCAAATTTAAGGAGTGGTTTCTTTTTATTTTTCTGAAGAATGTCATGGGTATTTTAAGAGGGATTGCATTGAATCTGTAAATCACTTTGGGTTACGTGGACTTTGTAACAAAATAAATACTTCCAGTCTGTGAACATTAAATGTCTTTTCATTTTATGTGTGTGTTCTCTTCAATTTCTTGTAGTAGTATTTTATGCTTTCCATTACATAGAGTTCTTTCACCTCCTTGCTTAAATTTATTTTCAGGTGTTTTATTCTTTTTGTAGCTGTCATAAATAGGACTGATTTTTTTTTGCTACTCCATTTGTGTGTGTGTGTATACACACACACACACACACACACACACACACTTTTTGTTTGCAAAGGTTCTGCTGATAAATCTGCGTTTAATTGAATGGAGATTCCATTATATATGACTTGATATTTTTCTCTTAATGCTTTTAGAAATATCTTTGTTGTTGACTTTTGATAGCTTGCTTATAATATACCTTGAAGAGGATCCCCTTTGGTTGAGTTTATAATTGGGATCCTTTGAGCTTTGTGAGCCTGAATGTGCATATCTCTCCCAAGAATTGGGCAGTATCAACTCTTATTTCATTACATATGTTTCTGTATCTTTTTACAACTCTTTTTCCTCTGGAATTCCCAAAATTCAGATGTCTATTTAATAGTGTCTGATAGGTTCTCAGGCTCTTTCTTCTTTAGTCGTTCTTTATTCTTTATCTTTTTCTTCTTGACTGGGCTCAGAAACCAAAAGATCTGTTATTAAGGTTCAATTTTTTTTTCTTCATACTTGTAATCCCAGCTGCTGTCTAGAGGCTAAGGTAGGAGAATCACAAGTTTTAAGTCAGCCCGGGCAACTTAGAGCCCGTTTCAAAATTTTTAAAATTGAAAGGATTGGGATATAGAGCACCCCTAAGTTAAAACCTCAATACCATAAGTTTTTTTTCTGCTGCTTCATCTAGTCTATTGTTAGGGATCTGACATATATTTTTTAAATTTTTCATTCACTGAATTTTTCATTTTTCAAGATTTTTGTTTGGTTCTTTTTTTATGTTGTCTGTCTTCTTGTTGAATTTCTCATTCAGATCATGAATTGTTTTCCTGACTTCACTAAATTGTTTGTATCTCTTGTATCTCACTGAGCTCCCTTTAGATCATTATATTTAATTCTTTTTCAGACAATTCATAAATTTCCTTTGGGGGAAATTCTGTTACTAGAGAAT